GACGAAGAGCAATTTTGTACAATTTGAGACGAAGAACATATATAGTCTCTCTTCAGTAATTGTACAATTTGATTGCGTTTTTTATGAGATCTCTTTCTGTTGAGGAAGGAGAGAATTACGCAACTGGTGCCTTCATCAGGAAGAGAGATCTCCTTCAATTTCAAAATTGGAATAAAATCCTTGACAGAATCACATCAGATTTGGTGCCTTCATTTTAGGGCTTTTTTAATGGCAAAATCTACCTATTTTTGGATTGGTATATAATTTGTAGTAAAAGTGTGGACGACATGGGTAAATAACAAATTATGAACTTTTTTGGTAATAATGTTTGATATATGGTATAGATAGGTAAAAATTCCAATTTTTATTAAGGAGTTAAAAAAAGGTTAGAAAAGGTTATAGCTAGTAGGAATTGAACAAAAGATAAAAGGTCATTATTATCCCTGTATTATTGTAAATAGCACACGTTTGTTCTCCATTTCACTTTACGTCCAAAACCCACCCTACCGTTAACAAACTTGATGGAATTGCCCCTAACCATAACAAATGGCCAATGTAGCAGCTGACCCATTCCATTTTTTCCATGTCAGCTGCCAAGTCACTTATTTACTCAATTAAAAAAAACATATCCCCTGGCACACCTCCTTTTTTCGAAGAAATAGGGAGATTTTCCAATTAAAGTGACATTAGTCGAAATGGGGTTATTTAATTAATTAGAGTGGCCACTTGAAATAATTATATGGTGTCCCAAGTCACTAGTTTATTTTAAAATCTCAAATCGAGGAAATTTGACTCCGTTTAAAAGTCCGCGAAACCAAAAAATCAGGTAAGAAATTATGTTAACCCGGAAGAAGGTGTTAGGCATTCCCGGGTTCCGTGATTTTAGCACGGTCGCTTTTAATCATACTTGGCTTAAATTATGTAATTACTTATTTTAGAACATATGTACATTTTTACCTTTTACCGCTTTTTAATTATGGCATTTATGGATTTAATCTTTGAAACGGATTATATGTGTGTAAATCCGTTTTATTTGGGGCGCTAAAATCATGTTACGCATACGTGTACACAATTAATCACGCTTTATTAATATTAAGATTGTTTGGCCAAAGTCCCGCAAACGCGTACTTTGATTTATTTGGGAAAAATCATAATTACAACGCGCGAGCGTGTACATAATCACAATAATAGATTAGAGGGTGCCTAAAGCATTCTACGACGTTAATAAATAAATAAATTTTCTAAGTCATCCCCCCTCCTAAATTGGAGATTGCGTTTGCAAAGATTACTTAATAATTGTTGGCAAGGGTTATTGTTCGAATCTGGTAATGAACTAGGTGGATTCATACTTTTGCAAAGTTATGAAGGCAAATATATTTTCAGCCTATATTGATTTGAGAAGTTGCTAAGCTAAATCAGATTGAAAGAAGAACGTTTGTATTTAGAAACAAATTGAATCCAGGAAATTCGCGCATTTTAAAAATTGCATAGCAGCGTTGTTTGACCGGCTTCTGACAGCAATGGGTCTAAATGGCTGGCCCAATTGCACTACGTGCATGCTTTTATTAGACAGACCTGAAGTCCTTAGCCACTAAAAATCATTTCAACTGGTCCAAATCATTATCAGGGCCAGAATGAATATGAAAATACATGCAGACTGTAATTCTGAAGAACTTACATTCGCAAATTTAAACAACACAAAAAAAACATTATTACAGGACCAGTTTCAAATGACTTAACATACAACTTATCAATATTATAGCAAAATTATTAAATCCTAGGCTAGATCACTATCCAACTCAGAATTAACTACTACAACAAACAGTCGTCTTTCATATCTATTTAGAAACTTCTAGATCTGTTTAAACCAAATTGAACACTAGATTAATTACAACTCAATGAGAATTTCAGTGATTATTTGGAAACAAAATAATCAAGTAACTTTCACACAGGCCTAGGTTAATTCCATCAGAATAAATTAAAGTTAAGTCAAATTGGCAAGTAGCATGGCAGAATATTGTGAATACATGAAGAAACATCTACTACATGTTTATATCATTTCCATATTGGAACAACAATCACACAACTTAAAAGACAGATTCATACATATTAAGCATAAAAACCAGCACACCATGACATCAGTTCCAAACAAACAACAAAGCAATTGTAATTATATCAAATATTTCATTAATTCAAAGTAGGATTACATTCTGGGAGATCAGTCAGTCCCTTAGAAACAACTAAGCAAAAATAAAATAAGCCTCTACTGCCAAAGAGTGATAATCCTACAATAGTTAAGGAATACAGACCAATAGCTCGTTGCACAATCCTGTATAAATTGATCTCTAAAGTCATAGCAGCAAGAATCCAGAAGGTCATTGCATCCATTATCAGTGAAGCACAAACAGGCTTTATACTTGGGAAAAAGATTTAGGATAATATCATCTTATCACATGAACTGGTGAAGTCTTACACAAGAAAGTATGTATCTTCAATATGCATGATAAAGATAGATTTTTAAAAAGCTTATGGTCCAGTGGAGTGGATATACTTGAAGCAGATCATGGCGGAACTAGGATTTCTTGCACAATTCATCATATGGGTCCTAGAGTGTACGCAAACAATCACTTATAGTATATTAATTAATGGTGAACCATCAGAACCTTTCAATGCCGCTAAAGGACCCAAATAAGGAGATCTCATGTCTCCTTTCCTCTTTGCCATTGCAATGGAATACTTGAGTAGGAGCCTGAAAGGAATGATAAATATGGCAGATTTTCATTATCATCCGAGATGTTCAAAGCTAGAAATCACACACTTGTGTTTTGCAGATGATCTATTGCTCTTTGCCAGAGGTGAAATCACATCAATGACTGCACTAGATCATTGCTTTAATCAATTTTCTGAAGCCTCGGATCTAAAAGCAAACTTAGGGGAAAGTTCAATATACTTTGGTAGAGTGAGCAGAGATGACAGAGAAAGAATCTAACATGAACTGAGTTTCTCTAAAGGTGAACTACCATTTAAATATCTTGGGGTTCCACTACCGACCAAGAAACTTTCCCTAATACAGTGGCAACCTCTTATAGAGAAGATAGTGGCAAAGATCTCATCATAGATTGTAAAGAAACTATCCTATATAGAAAGAATTCAACTTGTCCAAACTATTTTATTTGGTGTGCAAGCCTACTGGGCCTAACTGTTTGTGCTACCTGCTACAGTCCTAAAGACTATTGATGCCTATTGTAGAAACTCCATATAGTCAGGCCGCAATACCATCACCAAGAAAGCTCTGGTTTCTTGGGATAAAGTTTGTGCTCCAAAAAGTATAGGTGGCCTTAACCTGACAAATTTACACCTTTGGAATAAAGCGGCTATAGCAAAGACCTACTAGGATCTAGCACACAAATAGGATAAACTATAGATCAAATGGATACACACATATTATATTAAAGGTCAATCAATAAACTCTGTGGCTATACCTCAACAGGCATGCTGGATGGTTCGGAAGATTATGGAAGAAAGGTCTACACTGGAGGAAATGCAATGCAATTTCAAACTGGAAAGAGTATCACAAGGCAAATATACATACAACTTATAGGAGAGGAAGCTAGAGTGCCATGGAAATGCATGATGTTCGCCAATACTGCTCGACCAAAAGCAAGATTTATGCTATGGTTGCAACTGTAGGGCAGGCTACTAACTGCTGATAGATTAACCAAATGGGGAGTGAGATAAACACTCAATGTGTGATGTGCCAAAGCTCAGAGGAAATTAACGAGCACCTCTTCCTGGAATACGAATTTGCCAAAGAAGTATGGCATAGAGTGCTTCACTGGGCACAAGGATGACAATGAATACACTGGGATGGCAACAACATCAACAAGAGATTGTTAATATATCAAAGGGGAGATATCAAGCTGCATAGATTTTCAAGATGATATACACGGAATATGTCCATAGCATTTGGATCGAAAGAAATGTGAGAATTTTTGAGAATGTGTATAGAAATAATGAGTCATTAGCTAGAGATATTGCTTGTGTTTGTAGTGTGAGAGCTCCAACTAGAATTAGGAAAGAAGTTCTTATGTTTAGATTCTAGAAAAGTTCTCTTAGATCATATAGTAGTGGAACAGTTACTTGGTTAGCTAATTGTGTTAGTTGGCTACGATTTTGTACAGTTTCTTTGGTGATAAATAAAAATATTTAGTTATCAAAAAAAATAAGCCTTTGATTTTGAGAAGCACATCTAGAAATAGAGTCAGCTACAGCTCGATAAAACAATAGCAAACAAGCAGAGAATGTAGCTCAACCAAACTTTGAACCTAGAACTTGGAAAAACAGCTATTTGATAATGAAGCAAATTATGAAGCCTTTAGTTCTTTTTTGTTTCTGAAATCTTAAAGTTGGTTTTCCAGAAATTTTCTTTCCTAAAAATGAAAGTGAAGGACAGTGGGTTTTCAGAAATCAGTGTAAAGATCAGCGAGAGAATGAAAGGGGGAATTCTGAATTGCAGAGAGTCGTGTGTGTGCGTGTGTGAAGATATGAGGTCTTATATAGAGAAATGAAAGTTGTCATGTGCCCAAATGAAAGGGAATAATTCTAAGAATGCAGTCCCTAAATTTCAAGAAAAGAGCATCTTTTGAAATTGAACAGGACAACTGTCCATTCAGATATTCCCCTACATTTTTTAGCCTCCTTAACTTTTGAAATTAACCCCTTTTACCCAAATCTGACCTAATTTTATTAGTCTTATTGTATTTTGACCTTTTCTAGAAGTTTCCCACATAACCAACTCAGATCCCTAATTTTGGTGTGCCCTTTAGTCTCCTGAAAATTATGTAATTGCAAATAACCACACCCAAAGGACATACAACTTTAAACAAAAATACCAATACAGAAACCAAACCAATTACAATTCATTAAACTTAGGCAATTAAACCTATTAATATGTAATTGAACTACTAATTATGTAATTAATTAATTTAGACAAGTAGAATAATATCCTAACAATCATCAAATTACTATCAATTTAAACAACAATTTAGCAATTTCAACTAAGGGTAATTAAAGTTAAACTAAACACTGCTTAATGCGACCAAATCATAATTAACAGACGACCTCAATTAAACGATTTGGCTAAGTGCATTCTGAGCATAAGAGAGGAAGAAAGAAAAGAGAAAAAGGAAAAAAAGGAAGAACAGAAATATACCTAAAGAGCACACAGTGTAGGAAAAAAAATGGCCGACTTGAACGGATTCCGGCATTCTTCGAGATGAGCCGAAACTAGTGTTAATCGAATGTTCTCATTGAGAACAGTGATTAACACAAATTTTCAGGTCGAATCGATCTTGGGAATCTTGAATAATTGAGCAAAGGAGATTAGGGTTTCTGGTTATTTTTTAGATTTGAAATTAAAGGATATTGGGGAGGTTTCTGGGAAAATCGGTAGGGGATTATAGATTAGGATCTAGGGAATGGGGAGTGTAGGGTAAAGATTTTTGGTTGTTTGGGGAAGTGTCCACCGGTGATGATTTTTAGAGCGGTTTAGGTTTTCGCTGAGTTGAGAGAGATGGAGAGATGAGAGGGTTCTGAGGGGTTAGAGGGTTATTCGCACAAATTTAAAGGGGATAGGGGTTCAGTTTAGATCCGTTGGATATGGGGTAATCAACAATAGGGATTAAAGGTGGATGAAATGGGGTCGTTTGGCTAATGGGGGAAGCTGCACCGGTTGGAAAGATGGGCTGGGGCGGATTAATGGGCAATTCGGGCCAACAAGAATTGTTTTTGGCCTGAAATCGGGCTAGAAACCCCTTTCTTTCTCTTTTTTTTTTTTAAAAATTTTGAATTATAAACAAAATAATTAGCATAATAAATTAAATCCTAACTCAAATCTAATTTGTATAATTAACTTATTTTCCTATTTTCTAACACTTAAATTAATTAATTTAAAAATGTGAACTAATGAAAGGAGATTCTTAATTCAAGATTAAAAATCTAAAATAAAAAACGTAAAATGGCTGTTGTATTATGTTTTTTATCTTCATTTGATAATGCATTTGATCAACATAGCTAAACCCTAAATGTGATTAAGACCTAAAATTATATGCAATGAAGAATTGAATATTTTTTGGTGTTTTCTATAATTTTAAAAATGCCAAATATGCACAAAAATGTGACTACATGCAAACAAATAATTAAAATAAATTCCTAAAATTCTATAAAAACTTAAAACAAACAATTAGATTTTTTTTTATTTTTGTGGATTTTGTGGGAGTGTTTTTGCAGGGCAAAAATTACGTCCTCACATCCCCCAACCCCACCCCCCCGGGATCCCCAATTCTTCTTCTTCCATGAGTTCTTCATCTTTGCTTGAAATGTTTCAATCCAATCTAGGCCAAGTTTTTCATCAATATGACTCAAGTTGCAATCATAACTTCTCAACATTAATTTTCTCAACAAATTCCTGCTAACACTTTGCTTAAACTTCAGTAAATAGAATGCCCATTTTATGTTCTCCAGCATTCTTACAAATCCTTCAATGGTGATTTTTTTCCCCAAATCCTTCAATGGTGCTTTCCTCCATATATAATCAACAAATCGAATTGTCAACTTCAATTTTTCAACACCCAAAGAATACACCATAGTGGGTTTAGAGATTCTCACCATTGAATTTCCAAACTTGAAACAGAGATGAGTAATAGCACAAGTGAATCCAAACAACTTCATAAAGGGTCACAAAATTCTCCAGTGGCGGACACAGGTGGCCTCAAAATGTTGTATTTTTTTCATAATCATTTAATTAGATAGAGACTTAGGAAAAACTATACCCACAATTTATTTAAGCACAAGATTAGAATGCACGTCCAAACTACTATAGCAACAACACAATTGAAAATTTAGTAACAACAATTTCAACCATCAAAAATGTAGATGTTTGACCAAAAAGTATGAAACCTTTTTGTTAAACCAATTAAATCAAAGATGATGGGTAAATCCTAGTTAAATATAATAAATTCTAGATCTAACATGTTCATTTATAAATAATACAGAATAAATGCTTGAGTCAATTTAATACAAATGGTATTAAATGATGCTGTCTAGAATGAGTGGGGGAACAATAATGAGCAATCACTATATTAAATGGTAATAAGTATAAATAGAGAGAATGATTCACCCAAATGTTGAATGAGGTGGATGATTCTCTTATCTGACAATGATGTAAGACAAAATGGAAATTGGCATATATATGATTTTCACGGATCTAAGACGAGATAAAAGGTGGAATGAACAACCACTTGAATTCTTATGGAAAGGTAATATTTTGGGCTATCTCTTGTTGGAATCAACTTTTCATTAGAATGCTTATCATAATCAAATTACATGCCTTTTTCCCTCTCTCTTCTACTATTTATATAGGATAGTCTCAAAAATCCTAAAAAAGTACAACAGTTGAATATTCCCTTTGAAAGTTCCAAAGCTATACTAGCCGTTGTTCCTTTTCCTGTTGCTCGCCCTCAGCATTAGGATATTACTCAGCGGCTCCATATTGTCAAGTCCAGGTCGACCTCGGCATGGTCGCCCATGATGGGACACAGTTCTCGCACTTGATCGCTTCTTCATGCCGAATTTTCTTAGCCGAGTTTTGACCCATACAGTTAGTCCCTCCGATTATCGAGGTTTTCTTTCGGTCGACCTCAATGAGTGGACTTCATCAATAGCAATTCTTGAGAAATTCGGATGTGGAAGTCAAATAATGGTGATCGTTACCGAGGTGATGACGTGTCGCTCTTTGGGCTGCAGTTAGTTAGGCAGGTTCAGGATGACGTCACGGCTACATGCGTCATCGTTATGCATCTTCCCGATGCATTGCATCATTTCTTGAGCCTCTGTCATTTCGATTCTAGTGTTGTTTGACGTTTGATTGCACCGATTTAATCGGCGTGGTTTTGTATAAATAATAAGGGGGAAAACCTTTGGAGAAACTTTTTACCCTCTCTGATTCTTCAATCTTTGCCCATTGCTTCTTCTCCTTCTTCTTGTGTTCATTTTTCCTGCAACTTCCATCATCACCCTTTCTTCTGCACTTTCGGCTTTGCCGTATACACATTAGCAAAAGATGACTACCGTAACTCCTAACCCTGAGACGATCTTTACCCAACTCCGCTGTCAATGGCCATGCCTCCTGGCGGAAGGGACCGGGTACCGGCCTACCGATAAGTTTGTAGCAAAATTCTGACACAATGACCATAGACTCGGCTGCATTCCGAATAAGGTGGAGTCTTACCGATCCTTCGCTGAATGCTAACCTCGTCTGCTATGAGGGCTCATCAAACTGATTGTCTATACCTGCAGACATGAATACAACGTCCCCAACAAAGGACGTCAATACGAAAATTTACCTGTTATATCCCGCATTTCTGTCACGACCTAAACCGTGGGCCGTGACGGGCACCCGGTACCTTACTCAACCAAGTACCAACGTAACGTATCTTTCTTATTACATCATCATGGATAAGTGGGCCAAAAGGGCCGTATGAGGCAACAAGAATAAAATACGAGGAAACACTCGACATAAAATGACCCAACCTGATATAAAAACTTATACATGTGACTTACGAGCCTATAAGGCCAACATGATCATGTGTAAACTCAAAACATAGGCCGACAAGGCCATACAAGTATCCGTATACATGACATATGTCTACAAACCTCTAAGAGTACATAAGTAACATAAAGGTCGGGACTGGGCCTCGCTATACCAATCAATACATGTCCTAATTATACTGACCAAATAAGCAACTTCGGAGCAAAATAGAGTGCACCAACACCTTCCGCTGAGTTGATAGCCTGTATCTCGGCCATACTGGGCTCTGTATCTCGGCCATACTGGGCTCGCTCATAGGCGCTCAGCCATAGTAGGCTCGACATATAACTTACCATCTGATCAGAGGTTGCCTAATAGGGGCCTGCCCATCAATTATAGCTCGATGGTAATGAAAATACTATAATATTATATATATATATATATATATAGAGAGAGAGAGAGAGAGAGAGAGATAGAGAGAGAGAGAGAGAGAGAGGCTCTCTGCTCTATTGACTAGAAGACAATACTCAATTAAATATGATAAGGGAGAATATTGTAACTTATGAGACTAGAAATGTACATAAATTCAGGAATATGAATTTCTCTTTATGCCTCGTTATCAAACTTGTGTAATTACGAGACATGCTAAAATGAAGGAAGGGCTTAGACTTAACATACCTGTATGATCTTTTCCTTATTACTCAACCAAGCTCAACACAACTTCTTGTATCTACAACAAGTGAAATGATATTGTTGTTGACATATAATGTCGTACCATTGTATTTGGCTAGTCGCATGACTTAAGGAAAATCGGGTAGCAACTCCCCCATTTTAATACATCCCAAAGACCACTAAGGGTCATCAATATCCCAACAACAACAAATATAGCCAACACTAGCAACAACAACAATATAATCCAATATGAGTTTCTCCGATTATCTTAACAATCATATTGAGCGGCAAACTCGTTTTTTTCTCATAACAAGATATAAAATGAATCCAACTCTTATTCCATAAATTATTTTACAACCTTCAGAACATCATACTTATATGTACCATATTATTTCTAGTTTAAAACCTCCACAAAATGTCTTCCAAAACAGCCTCATACGTCTAGCACCTTAATTTTTATCCTCAATCACTTGTTTTTCATCTTTTCTTCTTCAATCAACTTAATTAACACCTAGGAAAGCTTAA